ATCAAATTTGGTATGGTGATAGCTGGTTATCCGGGTCTACATATACATAGGATACTTTTTAACGCGGGAAAATGTCTCATTTCTGAGAAAAAATACAAAAACTGCAATGTGAGACTATACTAAATTATGTAAAACGTAAGAATTTGGTTTTTGATCATCTGAACGCGGGCGGAGTCGCGGGCAATGCTAGTGTGATACTAAGATTACAACATTAAATAGTAGAAAGAGAAATCATGTACGGTATACATCGAACGCTAAACACAAGGTCCGCCTTAAACGTTTCGACCGGTGAACAATGTACCGGAAACACAGTCTAATCGTCTATCCCACTTGATCACTGCGTTCTAACGTCGAAATACATAGTTGTAGCCACATAACAAGTTTGTTCGGACCGCAAGCCCATTAAAATACCACTGGCCCACGCACGACGCAAATCAACCGATTATAACATCTATATATATTGGCAAAAAGTCTACTTTCCCCCATCACCTGTTCAACTGGTTCGCGTACCGACGTAACAGGTATGAATTTATCGATCCAAGATGTATGGCGTTATATCTGTTAAGCTGTCAGTTGATTGGACCTTGCGCATCCTTGGGAAAGTTAGTGTTGAATAATTAGTTATTTATTTATTATGTTTGGTTATTTTTAATTTTGAAAATTTATATTTTTTATTTTATTTGAACAAGCATAACTTATTATCATCTGGATCTAGATCGGGATTTCAGTAGGAAATTCTTGAGATTTTTTTCCTGCAATTACAATTCCTAGTACAAATTTTATTTTTTAATATCCTTCTTAATCACAGATTTTAAATTTAAATAATTTGAAGGACTCGTGATACATGAGAACTCACATCTTTGATAATAGGTTTCCTATTCTTAAATAAAAGAGCCGTCATATTATCAAAAAACCGGAAGCACAAACTTAACTTTGTCAATACATCACATCACAAGTTAGTTTAGGCAGCTGGAGAGTTTGACCTTAATCCAGTAATCTTGTACAAACAGACGACAACTCATGAATAAATACATGTACATATCTAATATATTTAAACGAGCAATTCTTGTATATAATATATAAATATTGTGGTCCATCGGCTAAGACGCAAGTTTGACAACCACAGGTGTCTGGGTTCGTATCCCGGTCGGATACAAAATATTTACTTTTGTTTTTTTTGTATTTATTCAAATTTTTAGTTTGCTTTTTTTAATGTTTTTTTGGCCAAATACCTTGAGCGAAGCTCGGTCGCCCAGATACTATTGTTTAATATAGGATATATTAATTAATAGGAAATCTTTATATATATAATTCTTCTGTGAGTGTGTATGTCACTGAACTTCTCTCAAACGACTGGACCGATTTTGATGAAATTTTTTGTGTGTGTTCAAGGGGATCTGAGAATGGTTTAGATTCACAATTTGAATAATAATTTTCATCAAAATGGTCCAGAATGTTTTAGCTTATTAAAAAAAGTTTGAAATTTTCAAATTAAAGACGTGTAGACAGGACAACGTCTGTCGGGTCAGCTAGTATTAATTTAAAGAACAATTTTATTTGTAGTTACGTTTTAACGTTTAGTATAGACTTCTTAGAGATGAGATATTTTCCCGCAGTAAAAAGTATCCCATATGTTGACCCGAATAGCCAGCTAACGTCATACCAAATTTCATCAAAATCATTCCAGTGGTTTTCTCGTGATGAATTCTCAGACAGATAGACAGACAAAAATTCTAAAAAAACTATAGATTTAGGCAGAATTAGATAATTTAAAGAATTAGATAGAATTTTATTATATGTATAGATTTGTAGATATTTCTTTATACTTTTTTTTAATAAACTTTTTTAAAGGCGTATTGTATTGGAATAAAAAATAAATCAGGTTTCCTTGTGGCACTGACTCATGTAACTGGAATGCAATGGATGGAATGTATCTATCTTTTAATTTGACTTTAGCAGAAAATAACATTAATATAACTGTTTTAAAAATCACTTAAAAAGTAAATATTTCATCGGATGGATTTTTATTTTTTTTATTTATCTGAGAATGATCATGAAAATTGATCCTAGCGTAGATATCGCTTAATATAAAAAAGTACAGACGAATTGAGTACCCGTTCCCTTTTTTATAAGATGGTCAATTTGTATAAATAAACAACAATAGAATAAATACTTTCTATTTCAAATACAAATTCATTGGTTCTATGAATAGATACCGCTACATCTGTTATGTAATATTTTATGAATCATATTATTAAGTATTAATATACATATTAATTGGCCAATGTCATATATTTTATTCATGAATGTGTTGAAACCATGTAATGTAGGAAATAAACTAAATAATACACGACACGTTTGGCTCAGTTTGTAGTGACCCTACTTGCTGCGCCCGCGGTTCGAGTCCTGCTGGGGGCATTCATTTGTGTGATGAGCACGAATGTTTGTATGCTAGTCATGGGTGTTTATATTTATAATATGTATATATTTATAATTCATATATGTGTAGTGTATCAACTATTTGGTATCCATAACACAAGCCTTGTAGCTCTTACCATGGAACTAGATGGTGCTGTGTGTTAATGTCCCAACATATTTATATTTATTTATAATACCCTTCTTAGGTTATATTTCTATTTAAATAGTTACTTTTCGTGTCATTAAGCACTCTTATCTCTGTTTGAGTAGACGATACTGGTGTATTGTAAGTGGCGTATTTGTGCAGAATTGTTATTTAATGCGCATAAGATATGAATAATAATTATTACGAGCTAACTGCAATGATTTTCTTTATATCTGTGCTAAAATAATTGTGTCAGTATATTTTTAGATTTACTAATGATGATCGAAGTTATTTTACTCTATGAGATCGGCAAACCCAAAATAAAATAATATTTAGTAACAATTTCTTCAAAATGTCTATGAAATGGTTAAATTTCGCCTTGAGCATCTCATTTTTACTAAGTATAAGTTAAAACAAATTGTGGCGTCATTTCCTACATTTTTTCTTACTATTGCAAGTTTGCGTGTCCAGCAACAATGATTATAAGCAACTGTTAGTGCTGCTGAGAGAAAGGGTTTCGATTGTTTGTTAGATTCATTTTTACTTGAAATGATAATAACACTGATTATAAAAATTAGGTGTCTCTTTATGTATATCTTTTGTATAAATATTTGTGTTACACGTGTTTAGTAAATATAATGTAATAATAAATGTCCTCCCGACGAATTCCGGCCACGGCGGCCAATCTCACTGAGACTGGCCAAATGCGCAGGAGATAGTACAGTGCAGCGCGTGTACGCGCAGACACAAGTGCTCTATTCCTTTTACTCTCAAAATCCGATGGGACTATACTTCGAAGTTCGACATGACCGGTGAGAGTTAAGTCGCAGGACTGACGGCTTCATATCCTCCCCGAGACACGGAGGGGAAACACCGCCAACTTCCTAACTCCCGGCTGTTACTGAGAATTTCTTGATAGAAATACTCAATAACTAAACTCGGAACTCGAACCCAGGACCACCGGATCTGCGGTCATACATGCTAGCCACTAGAGTCTCGACCACCGAGGCAGTCTATGTTTATGTCATGGTTATAACTATTATAGCTTTTACTCGCGAACTCGTTGGCGTATTTATTTATGTAAAATTACCGGGTCTTTAGGTCACACTTGCAAAATTTTAATTATCGATTTAGATATCTCTAATATAAGCCGGTTTTATGTAAAATTTTGAGCATATGCGTTCGGCAATTACGATTTAATTGAACTTCTTGTGTAACCCATACTTATTTTTAAGCATTGGCCTACACTATTAACTTAAAATATAAGTAATACTTACTTATTATAATGTTTTTTTTCTCAAATAAAACATTTAAGTAAATAATAACAAAAACGAATGGTTAACACTCCACAATCGTACTGACCTTGAATTGAGACTGACGCGTCTAATACGAAGCCGCCGCACCATTCATCATCCAACTGTCCTAAAGAAACACATTACTCTTCCCCTCGTTGAGGAGTAAGTAAAATATTGCCTATTACATATTGTGGTGTATTAAGTTGTGACAATATGTCTAACACCAGTATATTAAGTACACTTAAAAATGTAGGTATATATTAGCTAAGAATTTGAAGGTAGTTTAAAATATGCGCAATTTTTTCGACTAAATAGTTTGGTTAGTTTTTTAGTTTTATATGAATAAATAAATAAATACTTTGGGACATTAATGCACAGCACCATCTAATTCCATGGTAAGCTACGAAGCTTGTGTTATGGATACAGTTGATACACTACACATATATAACTTTAAATACATACATATTATAAATATAAACACCCATAACTGGAGTACAAGCCTTCGTCATCACTGATCAGATGAGAATGCCCCCAGCGGGACTGGAACCCGCGACCGCCGGCACAGAAAGTAGGGCCACTACAACTGAGCAAACGTGTCGTCAAATGATCTCGTTTACAGCATTTGATCTCCTTAAAAACGCTACATTATTATTTATTTCGTAAATCGATTACAAACATCTTTTACTCTGCGGCAAAATAGCAATTTTGTTCTTTCACGCGGGTTAATTCTCAAAATGAAACGACCGTCCCTCATTCCCCCTAATCAGTAAAACCGGTGTACTTAATCGTGATCATTCCTATTCGAAAATATACCGTACCGCTCTAGTTTTACAATGGCAATTTGTATAATGAGATTGAATGCTTAGTTTTGTCGAGAATTAACTGCAGAGATGAGGGTTGACCAAGGCCGTTTGTTGTGGAGATCCGGCAGTAAGCCCTCCTCAGTTTGCTGAGTAGATATTTTGTTATGTAAGCAGTCTCTGTTCATGTAGATGAATAGATTAAGTTGCATTTTAAAGCATCATGATGTTGAAGTTTCTATTTTGAAGAATTTGGATGATTTAGAATATTTAATTAATTAAATTTTTCCACACCACATCATCGCAGTTATAATAATTAATCTCAAAATTCTTTGTCCGCAGAATAACAGTAGAAAGTGCATCGATGAGACGCCGCTAGAACTAGCTGAAGCGTCGCCACGCTGCGTGCTTTATTTATTTGTAAGTTAATTCTATTGCTTATTAATAACGCCGTACAAACAAATTTTAATATTTTTTCCTCTAAGAACTACAAATTCGTATTTATAATGATTTTTAGTGGTAAAGGTCATGTTCTTTTAAAAATTGATAATTTAAACTCTCGAAACAGAATTTATGTACGTATATAGTAGGAATATAGGGGACATCGCGATTGATTAAATGAGATTTTATAAGTAAGATATTATGAACACTTCAATTTTGCTCGTTATCTACAAACTTCTAGCACGTTCCATAACTACTTGGTGAGATGGTGCCTGATATAAGTTTCCAAAGTCCTGGTGACTATAAAGTTAAGAAATAACTAAGTTCTCCAGTAGAATCCAGTCAAGCATTTCTAATGTTTCATTCCCCACATGCTCTGCTCTAACTTAAACAATGCCCGGAAACAATGCTGGAAAATAAACACTTGAATTCTTGCAATTTACTATGAGCATGGCCTAAATACTTTTATTAAGAGAAATTTCTTTTGCAACACAATCTTGTGTTAGTGTGGCAGTGGTAGCCCAGTGGTAAAGCGCTCGCTTGGGAAACCGAGTGAAGCGGGTTCAACTCCTGGGACTCGCACCACTTGTCTTACCGTGAAGAAAAATATCGCGAGGAAACCTGAACCTGCATTTCTGAGAGTATCTAGCATGTTTTCAAAAGACACATGAAGTCCGCCAACCCGCACTTGGCCAGCATTGTGGACTATGGCCTGATCCCCCTCGTATTGTAGCCGGCCTCCGTGCCCAGCACTGGGACGTTAAAAGAGGGCTGAATCTATACAAAATTTATGCAAACATAATTTAAAACAATAAAATATGTGAACTAGTGTGCGTTCACAATTATTTTTAATGCAACTCTATATTATATTAAATGTAGCTTATATTGTTAATCCCTCCACGACCGCGGACACGCTGGCGTGTCAGTTAACAATAGGTTTCTTAGAATTTTAATTAATTTCTTAGAAATTTACCTGGAGGTGTTAAGTAGCGGTTATTCTAGCAGGAAAAATATTTATGATGAACTACTATAATAACTAGAATTATTCACTTTCTAAAGGAATAAATTCAACGGCTCTTTGGGTCGAACGTTATGATTTCTCTTAACTAGAAAATTATTTTTAATGAACATTTAATAAATAATGGTGCAAGTACGTATGTATAAGTATTTCATTACAATATATATAATATAATATATCTCAAATTTTGCCTCTGTCTGTCTGTTACCTTTCCACGCATAAACCGCTTAACAGATTTATATGAAGGCAAGGACGTAGATTGTATCTCTAGATACTGACTGTATTGGACTACCTCTCTTCCGCTCCGTTTAATACACGAACGAACAGCCGCAGGCAAAAGCTCAATTAATATATGTTATAGTAACACAATTTAGTTAATTCCCAGTTAGCATCGGTTAAGGCGATGATAAATGGTAAACTTGTCAGACGCAAGCGCAATATCATTAGGTAATAGTAACACAATTAAGTCGTTACATATTACGATACTCTAAGATATGTTTCTGTATCGCAACAGCTGACTTCGATCGAGTGCAGCGTTCTCAGTTGTTCTAGTTTGATAAGTCTTAATTAATTTCGTAATATTACGAGTATTTTTGTAACTAACTAAATGATAACTATTAATTCCTTATGTCAAAAATATTTTTAAAATTGGACTCCTCCAGTAATGATAATTATATGTTACTAGCATTGCCCGCGACCCCGCCCGCGTTCAGATAAACAAAAAGCAAATTCTTAGGTTTTACATATAAGTATACTCTTGTAGCATGCAGCTTTTGTATTTTTTCTCAGAAATGAGACATTTTCTCACGTTACAAAGTATTCTATATGTTGACCCGGATAACCAGCTATCATCATACCAAATTTCATTAAAATCGCTCCAGTGGTTTTTCTGTGATGCGGTAACAGACAGACAGACAGACAGACAGACAAAAATTCTAAAAACTGTAGATTCGGCCTCTGTATCGATAATAATGTTTATTTCAATAAGATTTTCCAAAAAATATTTAATGTACAGATTCGGCTTAGCAATTTTATATGTATAGATTATATAGACTGTTTTGAAAACTGGTTTAATTTTAGAGCTTTAATTAAATATTAACCTATTTTCCTTTATTAAACATATCATTATAGTCTTGTACATATATTACTTTGCTATAAAAATCGCTATCAAACATAATTTATAGAACATAGAATTATTTAGAAATAATATCTGCGTTGCAACGTTAAGTCACACAAGGCACGATTTGTCACGAGACCGTTACATAATTGTGTTGATCATAGTCGGTCAGCTAACCGCCTGTCAGTAGCCTGTGAATTGGACGGTCGCGTCCAAGAATAAGCGTCTCGATTATCTAATAAAAGGGGTCGTTGCTCCGTCATATTAGCTGAATGGGTATTATTTACAGGACTGTTTTGTGAGTCCGAACAAATGAATCTACGGGAAACGTTCAGAATAAACATTTTTTTCTTTGTAAAAACGTCATAATTTGTTATGTTTCCGGGGGTTGTGAACGACAAAAAGAAATCTATCTATACATATAATAAAATTGTAACTAAGCCGAATCTGTACATTAAATATTTTTTGGAAAATCTTATTGAAATAAACATTATTATCGATACATTGGCCGAATCTATAGTTTTTAGAATTATTGTCTGTCTGTATGTCTGTCTGTTACCGCATCACAGAAAAACCACTGAAGGGATTTTGATCAAATTTGGTATGGTGATAGCTGGTTGTCTGGATCAACATATAGGATACTTTTTACCGCAGAAAAATATCTCATTTTTGTGAAAAAATACAAAAACTGCAATATAAGAGTATACTAATGTGTAAAACCTAAGAATTTGGGTTTTGTTCATCTGAACGCGGGCGGAGCCGCGGGCAATGCTAGTATTACTATATAGATATATTTTTTAATATTTATAATTGTTAATGTATTGTATTTTATAACTGTAACTGTACATAAATGTAGAAATTAGATTGAGCCGTTTTGTACGTCCGTTACGGATGGTCGGAGATGTATAAGCGCCGGATGTCTGGTTTTTAGACAAAGATGCGTGATAGGTGAGTAGGGTCGCCTGGTTCGGTTACCGCTTTATATTTAGTACCTACTTTATTATTGCAGTGTAATCTGTAACAATAATGGCTTAGACAATCTAAATATCATTTGAAAACCCAATTTGTATTTGAGAATTCCTTTAAGTTTATTCTTAGATTAATAATAAACGTTTTATAGTATTTAGCATTACTTAAATTATAATTTAAAATACTTAATGTAAAAGAAATTTTTATAGGATCTCTTTCAGGGATATTAATTACTAAATTTTATTTTCACCCACCAGTGTATGCACTGGTGGGTGAAAATAAAATATAGTTATGACTATAATTAATACTCGTAATGTAGGTATAGGTAGAATAAAATTCTCATTGAGTCGAATCGGTAAATTACATATTTTTTGGAAAATCCGTTTGAAATCGTCATAATTATCTATACAGAGGCCGAATCCATACTTTTTAGAATTTTTGTCTGTCTGTCTATCTGTCTGTTAACGCATCACGAGAAAACCACTGGACAGGTTTTGATGAAATTTGGTATAATAATAGCTGGGTATTTGTGTCAACATATAGGATACTTTGAACTGCGGGAAAATATCTCATCACTGAGAAATCTATACTAACCGTTAAAACGTATTCAGGGACGAACCCGAACAGAGCGAGGGTGAGTCGCTAGTTAATTATAATACCGGTCATAAATACTTTGATTTTGCTTCAAAGTCAAACAATTCAATTGTTACCACCTATCTCCCACCTTCTATATAACAATAACACATCAGGTAAACCACGATCGTCTTTCAAAGCAGTATGAATGAGACAGTCCAACGGTGATCGTTATACGATAGTTTGCCACAATTAATATGTTCGCAACGTCCAAGAGATAGGAATGCTAGATAGTCTAGAGTAAGTGTTTATTTAGTGTTAAGACTATCTACATGTACAATTAAATGCGTGCCGGTCATTAATAACGTTTTAAATGTTTCTATGAAAAGGCAATTGTACATACATATTGTGTAGGTATCTATGTTTAAGAGGATTGTGAAGCTGTAAATTTTCATACAAAAAGCGATAACGTCGGCGGAAAATCTAATTGAAATAGACATTATTATCGATACAGAGTCCGAATCTATAGTTTTTAGAATTTTTGTCTGTCTGTCTGTCTGTTAGCGCATCACGAGAAAACCACTGGACAGATTTTAATGAAATTTGGTATGATCATAGCTGGTTATCCGGGTCAACATAAAAGATATGGAAATATGTCATCTCTGAGAAATCTATACTAAACGTTAAAACGTAACTAGGGACGAACCCGAACGGAGCGAGGGTGAGTCGCTAGTGAATACATATATTCGAACCTACATTCGACTATATTTGAAAAGAAATATCTATTAATTTGAAACACGTAACGTTTTAAGTAATTATCTGTAAGCATAGACATTAAATGGCTCTGCCTCATTAGTGACACGGTATAGCATAATTATGGTGTGACAGCCATCGATGGTGCCTCCGGTCACGATCGCAGCTGTCGTGAGATTCCTCATAGTTTTACCGTTCACTCTTGGGCGATTACGATTGAAACATCTTATTATCTACAGGTAACTATGTATTATAATAGAAGTGTAACGCGGCCAAAATATAACATGAAAATATTTCTTGTAAGTTTTGTGTTTCAGTTTGAAATAATATATATGGAAATAAACTTAAAAAAAGATGTCTGTTTTTGTGGGCATTATCAATAGCCTTATTTTATTAAACTACTAGCGACTCACCCTCACTTCGCTCAGGTTCGTCCCTAGCTTGCTTCCCAATACAAACTTTCATCCACATTTTCAACCCCTTAAGGGATGATTTCCGAGATAAA